GACAGCGTCCTGCGAACAATGTGGTATGCAGATCTATCATGAATCAGATCTTCGAGTCTGTGGTGATGAGGCTCATACGGGAAATTACCCTCTGCCTCTAATTGAAGAACATTAAACATTTCATGTCGAGAAAGGGATGTTTAAAGATCCTCAAAACGAAAGAAAATCGTGTAAGAAGAAACTTAGTCCTTGTTATGCCAATGGTTCAAGTTGATCCAACCAGACTATCATAGTGGTATGTTTACCAAGATTTGACTTGGAATTCGTGCGCTCAAAACATGAAACTTATTATTACAAGCCAACTACCCCCACTTACCGTTTTCTGTCAGAACACTGATTTCATCCTCAAGTGATGAGATCAACACGATCATTCACATTTATGAACTCGATGACAAAACAGATTTATTTGCAACAGATGTAAAATAGTTGGATAATTTAAAATGCACACAACTTGAAACAGATTTTTCTCTTGATTTGTAGTGCACAAAAATACAATGGGAGCGGAATATATCGTGCGAATGTGTGTTCTGTTTGAAAGCCCAACTTCCATTTAGAATTCAGTTCGCCCAGGTAAAAGGGAGGCACGAACTGTATCCATGACGTCCCGTAATCTATCCAGTGTGATTCTATTCTAGCCAACCGTGTATAGGTGTGTGTGTGTGTGTGTGTGTGATTATGTTCATGTTACACCTTTGGGAATGGAACATTTGAGAAGTGTGATGCTAAAACGCAATAGATCCAGGTTATCACGCAAGCACGAAACAGAACACGATATTGGCATGAACAACAGAATGCAATGAACAAGACTATAGTGTGTAAGCATAGAAATCCAACCAAAAAGTTCTGTTTATTTCACATTGTCTACTCACTCGGGAAAACCTGTTTGAAATGATATGGGAGCGCAAGTTCGCTCGGCCATATTTTTCGGTGGATAATCTCACTGGATCGACTCATTTGTCCATTTGCAAGTGTTCACTCCTCGCTTACACACACAAACACACGCATTATCAGACCGTTTGATTATATTATCTTAGATATTTTGCCATTTACCGGGTATATTTGCTCCCTCCACTGGGGCTAGTGAGGCATGGGCATGCGAGATGATAAATTGTCCTAATCTGCTCAATCAAAATGATTGCATCATCAACACAACACAACACACGGTACGTTTTTGTATCTTGCTAGACAGCCAGTTACATTTGCACCACCTATTTGCACGAATTCGTCGCAGTGTATGTTCAGTTTATTTTTCTGGCTTAAACAATACAGTGGAAGAAAACTGTTTTAAATTCCAGAATATGCCCATTTTAACGTGAGAACATACATTTAGAGGCGAAGAATTCTATTCGTTGAATCATCTTCTGGCCTGTACAGATCAAATAAGAAAATGGCATATTGAACGGGGATAGTTATTCAGTCATTCAAAAGTCACGGTGATTGATTGAAAGGGAGAGGAATGGGGTGGGGGTGGGGTAAGGGTGGTGCGACGTGTTTCACGCCCCTAGATCACCACAACACTGCAATCAAACTGTGATGCGTCATCCGTGCGATCGAGCTGCGGCCACGGTAGTTGAATGGCATGGGCTAATCTATTATGTGCACATAGATTGGGTTCGAATAAACGAATGATGATCGCTTCCGTAGTGGCTAGGGTGGGGAGACGCAGCGACTTGGATGGGTGAGGTGGTACTCGAAGAATGACTTTGAAGGCTGACTCAGGCTTAATTTGGTGACCTGAGTCTGCTAGATGAGCGAGGATAGCGCTTCCTGTGATACCCTTTTCCACCGAGTGGAAGCCAGCGTGGGCACTGCTCTTTAATTCGCTGAGACAGTCACCTCGCCGTTCGGTCAATGTAGGTTGCGTTGCAAACGCAACTGAAGGGATATATGATCATAGATGAGGCCAGTGTTAAACCTCATCAGTTGTACCCCAACGGTAGGCTTCACGAGTATCCGTCTGTATTTCAAATTATTCCCATATCAAATCCAGAGCTCCGAATCAGATATCGCCTTCATCAGAATTACCAGGCCCACGTGACTCATAGCGATTTTTGGCTGACTCCCAACTCACCAAAAAGAGGTCTCAATCTCCTCGGGATATAGGGACGACGACAAGGAGGGAGACGGTGTTCTGGGCTCCATCAGCTACACAAACCCCAAATCTCTTATAGGTGTTTACCATTGTCTTAGAAATACGTGTCTCCATGTATTACACTTGTTTCCGCTGAGCGAAGCTTGAGTTCAGTGATTCCGAGTGTACGGTTGACTGGAAGAACCGAGGATTGTACGTGAACGTAAATTCCGAAGAATAGAGAGTTTAGATGAAGATCTACTGTCCCGCATCACTGGTTACAAATAACTGTGATTTACAAGTGGGTTCTTCAAAAACTCTGTATTTTTTCCTCAAATGGTATGAGCTCTGTTCACATCGATAATGAATTGATCCCGAATGCACATGGCATGACCTCTGAATGTTCGCCATCACATCATCATCCCGTAATATTTTGATGCACCTGTGGCGTTGCTTTCAGTCCGGACGTCGTGGTGTAGAAATCAACCGACCGTGAAAAGTATCATCCCGTTGGTTTAATAGATTGGTTCTGAGAGCTATTCAGAAAATGCGAACATAAAAATACCTCTTACCAGAATGTTTGAACTATTTTTTGCTGTGCACCCAAGAGCCCGATGTTGGTGGTCCTAGGATTGTTCCTCTTGCCGTTATCAGTACCCAAAGCGCGATTGCTCTTGACACCCCGTTTCAGTCTTGGTTTGCAACCTGGTAGGCCAAATGAGTGCCGATCGGGCATCGGATTTCTATGAAATGTGCAACAGTGGAGTTTGAGACTGTTTCAACCCCTCCACATCTACTCCAGCTGAAATCGGTACTTCTGGTGCATTTCAATAACCGCTTATTGTTCAACCCACCTGTATGACCATTTTTTACCATTTCGCAGACTAGCATATACTTTTTCAGGTGAGCGCCATTTTTTGTTTGCTAAGTTAGTGTAACTTGTGGTTCTCGCAATTTTGGTTTGTGTCGGTTAAGTGGTGTTTAATTTTCAGACATCAGGATCGTTTATCTTCCAGCCGGATCGATGTTTTGACCCTTTTCGAATTTGAACGTTGCCCTTGTTACGACTCTTGCTCGCCCAAACGGTCTGATACATTGGATACTGATCCGACCGTTTGTCGTTTTCAGTATAGACGATATAGCACAACCCATCATTGCCAACTTGTTGCAGGCATCACTTATCAATCATCTCAGCACGAGCCGTTGGTGTTACAACTCTGTATGAAGCATATCGCAGCTGAATACATTGAGTATGACACATTTGTCGAAATTAATGTCGACGTTAAGGACTCATGATGGGCGGAACAGACCAAGTTATACAATAACGTAATTCATGAAATAGTAATCCATCGTTAGATTCAGACCCATTAGGCGACTTATTGGACCGTAGTGCTAGATGTAGTCATTGGAGATCGAACTACAAGTGCTCTAGTAACCACAACTAGAAATGCTCTCAATGTAGCTCGCCGGCACAAGAAGAGTACTCGAAAAATCCGAATAACTTGTGTCTGCTACTTACTGAGATTTCGGGGCCTTGTTTAATTCATCTTGCACATTTGCAAGAAACTATTTCACAACACAGTGGCATTTGTCATGATGATGATTATGACGAATTATTTGTCACAGAATCAAATGTTAAAAGATATCTTCCATCCATTCACCTAAGCTCTGCCATAAAAGAAACAATCTAGAAAAGCCCACTATCGTTTCATTCTACCACTAAAGCAAGTTTGGAGTTAACGCGGTGGATGTTGTGTTGAAGATAGACAGTCTTGAACGCGCTTTTTCGCGATCGTCTAAGGTGGTTCGAGCCATCACGCTTCATGTCGCATATCGAAACGAATGGATGGTGGTTACAAACAAACTCTGGGGATGGATATTAGATGAAAGTGGTTTAAAATAATGCTTTCCAGTGGACCGAGAGAATCGCTTATTTTTACAAAGTGTGATCGGTTTTGGTACCGTGGAATAACGACTGGTTATTCATTAACTGGAAAGAGAAAAGTTTGTCACACTTATCTGCAACAATAAATCAACCGTGGTATGGCTGATTTGTAAGCGGCATACATATTGAACCGGTTGCTAACGGTTAGCAAAGAAAGTTTCTCAATACAATCACAGTAAAACACTATGAGAAATGGGAGGTGGTTAGAATATATTTATATACATCTTTGCAGTATCATAATCCGGTGGATTGACTGTGAAAAGATTACTAAAAAAATTGGCTGCCAACAGATAGAGAATGAATAAAAAACTGTATATATATATATATATTAATTTTGAGCTAATTTTAGAAAACATCTTAACCGACAAGTTCTAGAGATTTTTTCAAAACGGGGCCCAAAAGAGTGCCTGGTTTCAGGATTTTCCAGTGTCAAGCAATACCACGGTGTGGTATTAAACGATGATGATTGAGGTCAGAAAGGTAGTTCAATTTTAATTTTGACGTCGATTTGTTGGTGACACATTGGATTTTGGTGGAGTCTAAGGTTGCTTGTTACTGTGACACTCAAATCTGTGTAGGTCTATGTCTTCTGTTCGCCAACTGAATGTGTTAGAGAAGGCGTAACCTGGTCAGTCAACTGGAACTTGAATGCAGCATATTCATGCAGATGTATACATGTGCACCATATAAGTGTCTTTTAACGAGATTCCATGAAACACTGCACGTTGACAATTCAAGCGCGCGAATTCATTGCAGCGTCTCTAATTGAGTGATGCAAAAATTCCACTGTTCTAAAGATGTATACACCAAACGCCAAGTTAATTCTATGAAATCTGTCGTTCTTTATTTTGAATTCAAACTTTATCCAATTGGTTATCTTCATCTTACCGATAAGATCAATTATAATTATCGGAAACATCCCTCTCCTTTAATGCACTTGAAAAAAAACAAGTAACACAAAATGAACAGAACTGATATTGGTCATTCATTCTGCGTGCTCTCAATCAGCTGTCTACGCAAATTAAACAGGTGGGAATGTCATAAGAAGAATACCATATATGGACATTTACATCATTACATGGGCTCATGCCTGGATCCATGTCCCTCTCAGAGGAATCACAGAATTTGCATATACCAAATGAATTTGACTGATTGAATCAAACAGTAAACTTCTTTCATTGGGTTCAATAACGCTATTTGCCACCAAATAACCACGTTTACTTAACATTCACGTTCAGAAAGGTAATACAAAATATCTGAGTTGAATTGTGACCTGATCCGGTTTTGGATTTTCAAATATGTAAACCTGGTTTGATTTTCTATCCGGAAAACACGTTTTCAATTCACGATTTCTAAACCAACTTCGGAAAAATTTTGCTACTTAAATGGGTTGTTCAGTAAATCATGTCTGTATGGTACTTAACTGTGATGTGTGAAATTGGGTCAGTGGTTTTTTTATTGTTTTGAAATGGAAGCGTATTGTCATCGGTGTATATTCACACGCTATGATACAAACGGTCTTCGTGT